AATAGCCCTTTCAATATTTCTTTTAGCATGGGTTTAGTGTTGCTAAACTCCTGCAGCTTTTTTTTGTCTGTGAAACTCTTTATTTCTCCTTCTATCCTAAAGGATAGCCTTGCTGGATAAAGTATCCTAGGTTGCATCTTTTTCTCATTCAGGGCTTTGAATATATCTTGCCACTCCCTTCTGGCCTGTAGTGTTTGTGTAGAGAAATCAGCTGAGAGCCTTATGGGGGTTCCCTTGTAGTTCACTCTTTGCTTTTCTCTTGCTGCCTTTAGAATCATTTCTTTATCCTTGACTCTGGCCATCTTGATTATGATATGTCTTGGTGTGGGTCTATTTGGGTTCTTCCTGTTTGGGACCCTCTGAGCTTCCTGTACTTGGATATCTGATTCCTTCTTTAAGTTTGGGAAGTTTTCAGTCATGATTTCTTCCAAAAACCTTTTCAATCCCCTTTGATCCTTCTTCCCCTTCTGGGACCCCTATTATGCGAAGATTGGGACGCTTTATATTATCCCATAGGTCCCTTATGCTATTTTCATTATTTTTTATTTGCTTATCTTGTAGTTCTTCTGAATGGGTGCTTTCTATTGCCCTGTCTTCTAGATCACTAATTCGTTCCTCTGCGTTATCTAGTCGGCTTTGCACAGCTATTAGATCATTCCTCATAGCTTTCAATGAGTTTACCCATTCTACTTGGCTCTTCTTTATAGCTTCAATTTCATTTTTGACATATTTTATATCTCTAAACACTATCTCTTTTAATTCCTTCAGCAATTTGATCACTCCTTTTTTGAAATCTTGATCTAGTAGGCTATCGATGTCTATTTCATTGATCTCTCTTACAGGGGATTCCTCTTGTTCTTTTAATTGGGAAAGGTTTCTCTGCTTCTTTATCTTGCTCATACCTCTCTGGCACTGTGGTTTATGGAGTATCAGTTGTCTATTTTGGATCTTAAGGATTTTATCTATCTAATGCCTATTTAGGAATAGAACTTAGGGGAAAAAAAGAAAAAAATAAAGATTTTTAAAAGAAGGGAGAAAGAGAGTTTGAAAACAGTATATAATGAATAATAGAAGAGCGAGTTGAAGCAGAGTAGTAATCGGGTTGAGACGTCCTTTTAAACCCTTAAAAAAAAAAGAAAAAAAAAGAAAAGGGGTGGGGAGATGAATAGATGTATTTGAAACCTGTGTCTAATCAATAACAGGACATCAAAACCCAAGAGAAATAGAAATGAATTAAGAAGTAAAAATTAAGAGAGTAATAGAAAATAAGAACAAGGAAAAAACGAAAGATTAAAAAGTAAAAAAAGGGGGTTGTCGGTGTTCTCCTGGAGTCTGTGTGCTTTTAATATGAAGTCTTTCTGTCTTCGTCCTGTTTTGGAAGCTCAGCTTGTTTTCAGAGGCCCTCCGTTGGCGCCTTCTTCTGTGCTGCTCCCAGCACCTGTCGGCAAGCCGCGCCTCCTCCTAACAGGGTCAGGTGCAGCTCTCCTCTGCTGTGAGCGGGCAGGTCACTGCCCCTCCGGATGCCGCAGTCAGATGTTGCAGACTGGCCAGGTAGGAGGGCGGGTCGTGCCCCCTCCCAGGACCTTGGTCAGGGGCTGTGTTACTGCCCCACCGGCGGGGGGCCGCTCTCCCCTTGCCTGCGCCGCCGGTAGCTCCGCTGCTCTGTGCGGCTGCGTGCTCCGCCCTGGCCGGTGCTCCGCTCTGTTCGCGCTCCGCGGGTGGGCTCGGGGAAGACCAAGGGACAGCCTCGTCCCTGCCCCGAGCCAAGACCCAGCTCCTTGTTTGTCTTTGTGGAGCAAGTTCTCTGAGGGACTAGGATGAAAGGATCCTATCTGCCCTGGGCTGTAGGCCCGTCTCAGTCTGGCCTTTGAGGCTGCTAAGCCCTTCGGTGCGGATGCAGGTTTCGCCCCATTCCCCGCCCCCGCCTGCGTGCTCAGCGCAGGAGAATATGGCGGCTGTGCCTGGGCCCCGCCTCTCTTCCCCTGAAAAGTTTTCGGGTTTTCAGAGATGGTGGTATGCACCCTTCCTCCGAGAGCACATCAACCTTGCTGTTTTATGGAGGGCCCAGGTTGTTCTGTCCTGTACACCCACAGCCACGGCGCCCAGCCCCTTGCAGTTCCCGGGGGCTGCCTCCGTGCAGCCGCCCCCAGTCCTCCGCCCGGCTTACGCAGCCTGGCCCTGCCCGCCGCTGCCGGCCGGTGTCTCAGGCTGGGTGTCGGGGGGACGCTCTGTGTGCCCTTAACTTAGTTCTGTCAGACAAGGGCTGCTCTGTACAGACCCGAGCCTTGGAGGCTCCCCCTCCGTCCCGCTGGCCTCTCAGTTGGCGAGGGGAGTGCCAGTCCTCCTTTGTCGCTCCCTCCCCGTGGGACCTGTCCCGCGCTGCTTTGCCTTTTGTTCTTTCTTTTTTCCTTTTCTCCTGCCAGATTTTTGGTGTCTTTATCTTTTGAAGAGGGCGATGATCTGTTGGAGTTCCGCAGGTGCTCTGGTTGGCTGAGTGAGTCTGTAGATGTGAGTCTTGGTGTATTTGCGGGAGAGGGTGACTTATGAGCGTCCTTCTACTCCACCATCTTCCGGAAGTCGCAGATATTTTCTCATTGTCCATAGGTTGTCTTTTTTGTTTACGGTTTCCTTTGCTGTGCAAAAGCTTGTACATTTGATTAGGTCCCCCTTTATTTCTAATTCATCAGTTTCTGCGTTTAGCTTTTCTGATTCTTCTACTTTGTTACTCAAGTTTGTCATTCTTTTTCTTACTTCCTCAGTAGAATGTTCAGAATGTAGTTGTTTTCATTTGTTCTTACTAAGCAGTATCAAATTTTCGAGTTACAAGGTTTTCTCTGAGAACTGGTTTAATTGATTCCCATGTTCTCATAATAAATGTTTATTAATGTTTTAAATGTTCTGTAGTGTCATTTTAATTCTTATTTGACCCAAAGTAGTTTTAGACTTTTAATTTTTTTCCAGTTGAGATCTGGAGTTGTCTAGGTAAACAGTCATAGTGATTAATTTCAGTTTTGCCTTTCTCTTCCTTGTACTGTTTAAGCTCATGGCACAAATTTCTTCCTTTTGGAAAACCAGAATTGGTACAAATATGTGGGTCAGGCCTTTTTTCCATTTCACAGTAGTCAGCACCTTAGAGAAACATGAACTTATAGGACTAAATAACTAGAGAACTGAGCATCAGTACATATAAAAATTGAAATAACAAAAACAGTTGCTCTTATGGATTTAAAATAAGCATGATAATTATTGTGGACAAAATACTAAAATAAAAAGAGATACATATTCAAATGTTTTTATGCAAGAGATATGGATATATGGTTGATTAAATGGCTTGATAGAATTTTTGTTATCTTAATAAAAAGCTGAGGACCAAGAAAAGCAAAAGGAAAGTGTCTGTAATAACACAGAACAAATATTCTAGTTAATACCAACATGAAGGGAACTGAGTGGGGAGAAAACCAAGGAATTATCAGAGGGTGGTGTATTTGTCTTGTTAGTGAGCATATACACTGCTTGATAAGTTAAAGAAATTATTAGAAACACATGGATAAGAAAATATGATTTAAGTTAAGGAGAACCATTATAAGAACAAATTTGTATAGCTGTAAACCAGAACAAGAAAACAGTATTTACTCAGGAGAAAAAGGAGTGAAATTAGAAAGGAAAGAAAAGAAGGACTAGGAAATAGAAAATGTGAACTAAGCAGTGTCGAATGCCGACTTCTGAAATATCACCAAGATAACTTTTTGATAAGACAAAGCTGAGTGTAATGCTTACCGTGGTAAGGGAGATCACTGCCTCACCAGAGCCCTAGTAAGCCTTCAGATGGGAAGGACAAAGCTGAGATATGTGTTGAGATTTTAAGTCTAGTTTAACGTGGGCCTTTCAACTGGGGGGTTATGATTGATTATAGCTTGGATATAATCGGGTAAGGATCGTGATATAACATTTTAGGATTGCGAAACGGATAATTTAGAAGGAAAGGGTTTAGAGTCTTAGAGTCTTAACCATCGTATGATACTTTGTGTTAAAAAGTTGATGGATCTTCCCAAGTATTTCCTGGAATGAACAGTAGTTTATTTTGCAGCATTTCTCTCTGAGCAAGAGTTTCCTAGAACAGTAAACTCATGTTGATGAAGACAATGTAATAGTCAAGTCATGTAGATGTAGACAATAAGCTGTGTGGGTGATTTTCATTCTCAGAAGGTAGAAGTAATAATTGCATTTCTGGGGTTAGGGAGGACCCAGCTGCTCCCTGTTATTGTTACTACACTACTAGATTTGTTTTGCTAGTATTTTATTCAAGATTTTTGCAGTTACATTCATTAGTAAGATTGTCCTGTTCTCTTTTCTTGTGTTTACAGTAACTGGTTTTGCTATCAATTGGGCTAGCTTTGTTGAAGTAGTTCCTTGCTCCCTGAAGCATTTTCTATAAGATCAAGATGATATCTTTCTTGAAGATGGGTAGATCTTACTATTTTGATTTTCTCTACTCATATTTTATTTAATGACTTTCAATATACTCAATGTGCTTCACCTGGCTTTTTGGTTGTTAAGTATTAAATTATAGTTTATATTCTACCATGATTTATAATATAGCCTTGTTACACTAATATTATTATTTAAAGTGTATTTTTTTTTGCCCTTTCTATTAATTTGAACCAAAAGAGCATGGTTACCACCCTCCCCCTTTCATAAACTAATCTTTTTTTTTAATCTACCTCAGTTAAGTAGATAGATATCTCATATTCTGACCAGGAAGAAAACTAAGGAGAATTTTAATTTAGTTTTCCTTTATCTTTTTATTAGTTAGCAATGTGTCATCTTTAGGAAAATGTTTTAAACAACGTATATTATCTATTATGGAAAAGTGAACCACGTTGGATATTCTTTTTCATCCTTACATTCCTACTTTGATTTACTTTTTATATATGAGAAATTAAAATAGGTCTTATATGAAGGACATCTTTTTAATGACAGTTTTTCCTTTTCCAATTTAGGAAGTTCACAAATGGGTGCTACTATTGTAGATGCTTTGGATACACTTTATATCATGGGACTTCATGATGAGTTCCGAGATGGGCAAAAATGGATTGAAAACAACCTTGATTTCAGTGTGGTAAGTATACAATTGATAATGTATTTGATTGAGTGTGAAAAGGCACAGTCTTACCATAGTTTTGATCATTATACTAGCAGTTTAAGGAAATTCTAAGTCCCCTTTCTTCTTTCGGGATTGTCTCTTGTTTAATTTTTATATAAAATATGCATCCTTTTCACCATTTTCTTTTTACTTTTCTTGCCCTTATCATTTAATGCAAGGTGTTAAATGTGTTAAGAGTTAGGAGAAAAAAAAACCACACACATTGAACTCGAAATATCAGGAAACCATCAATTACCTTTTAAATAATAAGTATTTTATTATTTTTTGAAGATGTGATGATTTGGCGCATCTTTGATGAGCCTTCATATTTAGGCCTGTGCTCATCCTTCCAGCATTTTGGCATAGTTTTAACTGGTACTGCTTAGGTTCGAAGCCCAGCGCAGCTACATTTCAGTGCTGCTTGGGAAACTTACATGCTACTTATTCCTTCTAAATCTGTCATTAAAATTATAATCCTATTGCAGTATTGTGAGAATTATTTGGGATAATCTGGTACATATTAAGTATTCAGTAAATGATAGCAGTTATTTTCATTATTACCAGTCTTCACCTAAAAGATGTGTGCACTTCTTTGTCATATTCATAATCACCTTTCATGATATTTGTATTTAACATTCCTTCTGACTGTAGTGAGAAGCCACTTGTTTATGTGTTTTTGTCTTTGGCAGACTCTGCATCATTTAAATTGTGATTTAAATCCATAATTATTTCTTCTCTGATGCCTTTCCTCATGCTAATTAGACAAAAACTGATCACTTTCCTTTATGTTATTTTAGCATTTTGGACATATTTCAATTAGAACAATTTTTTTTAATCAGTTAGGTTTAAGTTTGGCTCTGAATGGCAGAAAACCTAGTGTAAAATAGCTTAAATAAGATAGATGTTTATTTCTCTTTCATGCAAATCAAGTGCAGGTATAAGCAGTTTAGGGCTGGTTTGGGTAGTTCCTCCATGACCAAGGACCTAGGTTCCTTTGTCTTATTGCTCTGTGAGCTTCAGTATAAAGCTTCAACCTCATGATACAAGATGATTCCTCAAGACAAGGTGGGTAAACCTTCCTAGTTGCAGAAAGGAGGAAGGTACAGAGAAAAGATATGTGATGTCCAGAAGTTGGTTACTCCATTTTTGCTTGTATATCATTGAGTGGATTGTACTCATATGGCCTCGCCTTACTGTAAAAGGAGGCTGAGAAATGTAATTCTTTTTTCCTGTATAGTTATGTAGCCCTTATAGATTATGCTTTTTGTATCTTATTTAAGAAATTCTTTCTCCAAGATCATGAAAATGTATTCCTATATTTAATTCTGAACATTTTAAAGTTCTACTTTTGCATTTAAGTCTTTAATCCTTATGTAGTTGATTTTGTAGGTAGGGTGAGATAGCAACTGTCAACTGATCCTAGCACATTTATTTCCCTGCTATTTATACATGCCACATTAGTCATATATTAGTTATATGAGTCTGTTCTTTTCTACTGGCTTTTCTCTTTATCCCTGCATCAGTATTTTAGTAGTCTAGATATTTACTGTAGTCTTAACTACATTATTTTTACAAGAAGCTTGACAGCTATATCTGAATCTTGATATTTGATCTCGTTCTACTAGGAAATTATCTTAGCAATTCTCAGTTCTTTGTTCTTGTAAGTTTTGGAAGACGATGTTGAGATTTTGATGAAGATTGCATGCAGTTTATAGATTAATTTGGAGAGAATTGGCATTTGTGAATCTCACTCCTGTTAACATGGCATCTTTATTATGCTTAATAATTTGTTGGTATATCATTGTATCAGTTGGCTCAATCAAGAACTGGAACTGTACAGTTTTTTAAATTAGAGGATTTAATGTTTAGAATTGCTGACCAATTAATGGGGAACTGACAAGACAAAAAGAGAACACTGTGGTATTCCAAGAGGTAGTAACTGCAGTAAACAACTGCCATGCCTGGATCTGTACGAATAATGGGAAGAGGGTGAGATCATTAAAATTCAGTAGCTTGGGCCTCAGGCTATTTCAGAACCGGGACTTAGACCTTTGAGGAGGGGGTACCCAGCTAGAGCTTGGTATCTGTAAGGGGCATAAGGAGGCTGATTTGGGGAACGTGTATGTGGCAGGGGAACTGTAACCTGGAACTAACTGCCACTGTCACGGTGAAAAACCACGGCTGCTTTGATACTGTCAGAAGCTAAAGGCAAACTGGAAGGAGTAAGTTCCTTCTTCCTTCAGCCTTGTATTATCTTTGTAGAACCTCCTTTTGGCAGGGCCGATAAGGGAAATGAGAAATGCATTTGAGGAGTTCCAATGTCAGTGTACCAAAGTAAACTGTAGAAGGATGGATTTGAAGCTGAGAAAAAAATGGCTTAATAATCAGCACAGTCATTTTCCACTCTTTTACTTTTAACCTTTCTGTGTCATATATGTTAGCTGTATATTTTACCTATAGTGTGTACTTAGATTTTGTTATTTTTGTCTAGTCTTGGAGTCTTTTAACTGTTAAGTCTGAAATGTTAACATTTAGTATGATAATATATTTTTAGAGTTGGCTCTTCCATCATTGTTTTGCTGCCTATATTATTATTGTACTTTTCATTTGCTTTTATTTTCTGTCTTCCTTGTTTTGGATTAAATTACTCATGTCTGTTTTCCTCTACTAGTTTTTAGTTTAGATCTCTTTTTCCCTCTATTAGTTTGACTTTATACTTTCCATTTCCACTTATTTTGGGGTTACCATTAAAATTTTAATATGTATACTTACCAAAGTTTAAAATTAACCAATTTCTCTATCCTTCTGAGAAACATAAGAATCTTAGAATGCTTTAATTTAGCTTCTCTCTCTCTTGTCTTATTGGTAATTGTTGTCTAGTTGGTCTCGACTTATATTTGAAACTTCCCTATTAAATAATGAGTGAATAAATAAATTACTATGTTTATTGAGTTCCTTCTCCATGACATAGTTCTAGATCTATGGATATAGAAATGAAAAAAAAAAACACTTATCTCCAATTTATTCTAGTCTATATTCTAGTTTTAGGAAAAAAATCATAACTATATATTCAAGTTCTGTATAGCATGTCAGATAGTGATATGTGCTCACTCTCAAAGAAGAGTAAGTAGAATTGGAGTAAGTGTTGGTGAGAGATTGCTGTTTTATGTCCAGTGGCTACTGAAGGACTCTTGTTATGGTGACATTTTTGAGAAGAAACCTAAGGAAAGCCATGTGGATATCGGGAGAACCAAGTTCTCTCCTAATAGGTATTATAGCTCAGTATAGAGTTAGAGGTTGATTATTTTCTCTTAATCTTTTAAAGATACAGTTCCATTGTCTTCCTGTTTCTGTTATGTTGAGAAGTATGCTGTCAGTTTAATTTTAAAAGATAATCTTTTTCCTCTTGTTTTAATATTCCTTTTTTTTTTTTTGCTTTGTTGTTCTGGAATTCCATTACCATGTATTTGTATTTAGATTATTCCTTAAAGGACTCAGTGTTTTATCAGCCTAAAGACTTTTGCTTTCATCAGTTCAGGAAGATTCTCAGTCGTTACTCCTGAGAATAGTGCCTCTGCTTCATACTCTCCCTTTTCTCCCTCTAGGACTTCTTTTAATTTCTGTCTTTTATGAGGGAAGGTGTAAATTTTACAAATAATTACATAGTATTCAGATGATGATAAGTATTAATTGGGGAAATAATACAGTGTAAGTGATATTAGTGATGAGGATTTCTTCACTGTTTTATATGGTGTGGTCAGAAAAACTTTCTAAGTGAAATTTGCTTGGAGATCTGCAGGTAAAGTATAAAGACTGATGCAGAAGTGAGTTTGACAATTCTTGAACTGTATGTAGACCCATTTGGTAACAATAAAGTGAGTAAAAGGAATATTGGAAGATGATGATGTCAGAGAGGTTGTGAGGAACCTGATTATGTTGGGTCTTATAAGTCATTTTACTTTGAGTGTCACCAGAAGTCATGGTAAGGGTTTGCACAGAGTAGTGACCTAAGCTGACTTAAGATTGAAAATGTTCATCACCACTGTAGGCTGTATGGTGCTGAATAAATGGAGTGCTGGGAGGAGGGTATGAAGTCAGGGAAACTGATTAGAAGGTATTATTGTTCTAGTGAGTGAGAAAGAGAGGCCCTCTCTCCCTCTTTCCCTTCCTCTCTATGTTTAGTGAAATGTCTATTGTGTACCCTGCAGTGTACTATATACTGGGAATATGTGAAGTAATATAAACCACTTGCAGTCTATTCCAGCCACCAGAACATGGTGGGATGACAGCTATGTTATTAAAAAATTACATTGTATTGTGAAAATTTTACATTAGGGAATTATGCTTGTGTTAGCAAATGATGTCTTCTGCCTATGAAAGTTGGAAAGACTTCAGGGTAATATATAAGTTCTGTTTAATTTTTATTTAAAAATTAATTATAAATGGTATTTATTAGTCAGTTTTGTATATTCTTTAGATTCTTTGGTCAGTTCTTTGCCACTATTTTTCTTTCCATGTATTAGAGTCTTTCTTAGCAATATCTTTAATCCATATCTAAATGCAAACCTATAGACTATGTGGTAAAGTTATAAATACTGCTATATTTGTGGCAAATTTCCTTCTGTATGTTGTTTGCCTTTTAATTTTGTTCATGGTTTTTTCTTATAAGTAATTTCTATTGTGGGGAAATTCAAGCCTCTCATCATTTGTTACCAATGCTGTTGATTTTATGCTTACAAAGAAGCTTTCTCCAAGAAGTATAGAGATTGTCACATTTATTCTACTTTTTATTGCAATTTTGCTATATGTACTTCTAAATCATTTGGATTTCATAAATATATATATAATATGAAATGACTATCCAAATTGATTTCTTACCTACAAGTCAGTCTTTTTAGCATTATTAATTGAAAAGCCCATCATCTAACATTATTTTTTGGTACCTCCTTTAACACTGATATAGTTATATCCAGAAAAATACTGAAAATTCATGAAGAGAGCTAGAAGTGAAAATAGACATTACAGTGTAGTGATTAGAACAGAAAAAAAAGGACCAGTAAGGGAGAGCACCATTCCAGAATTTAAGAAACAGAGGCTTTCATGAGGGAGAATTGTCAACAGCATTCAATAGCTTGATAATTTCACAGTGAGGCACATGAAAATGGCCCATTGGTTTTGGCAGTTAGGAAGCTGTGGTGACTAATAGAGGAGTTTCAATAATGTTAACAAATGAGAGGTGAGATTGCAGTTGCATGAGAAATGAAGACTTAGAAAGTGGAAAAAAAATTCTCAGTGTGTTTGTGAGGAACAAAGGAACTATTGAAGATTTTTGAAACCTCTACAGCTTTATGTATATGTGAATATTTTCAATATGTTTTCACAGAATTCAGAGGTGTCTGTTTTCGAAGTCAATATTCGATTTATCGGAGGCCTACTTGCAGCATATTACCTTTCAGGAGAGGAGGTGAGCAAAATCAAGTAATATATTGTTTGTGGGGAAAAGGTTGTGAATGAACCTTAGTAAAATGAAAGATTTCCCTAGCAGCATGTCATCTTTTTACCTTTTTATTTTATTTTATGTTTTCCGGAGGGGGTAGGTAATTAGGTTTTGTGTTTTTTTTTTTTTTTCAGATTTATTTATCTTTAATGGAGGTACTGGGGATTGAACCCAGGACCTCATGCATGCTAAGCACACACTCTACCACTGAGCTATACCCTCCCCTCTAGCATGTCATCTTTTTTAATTGTCTGATATTGAACTAATCTACAGGTTTGCTGAAATAACTAGATCTTCAGATAGGGCTCTGTTCCTTGGGAATAATGATTTTTCCATTTTGAGAATCTCAATAAAACAAATTCATCACAGATTCTAGCATTATATGCACATCTCCTTTGTAGGAGTGATCCTTCTCCAGGATTTTGCCATTGTAATTAATTACATGTTTGAAACAAAGGGAGAAAATAAATTAATAAGATTGGAATTAAGAAATGAATCAGTAAGAATGAGTGTGGATCTTTCATAAGTCTAAAAATTAATAAAAATGCCTTTTTGGAAATTGAATGCAGTTTATTGCTATGAATTGAAAAAACAAAACAACAACTCTGGATTCTCCTTTCTGGAAATCTTGGTGTGATACTCAAAGACAATACTTGAGACGCACAGTGATGGGGAAGTGGGTGTGGGAAACTCCTTTTTACTACTCAGATGAGTTAAAGGATGGGGTTGGAGAGTATGAGAAAGAGAAACTAAAGGAAGAGGTTATAGTCATTTCCTTTTTGTTTTCTGAGAAACTACTTTGCCCTTATATTTAATTGGTTTCTTGGTCTAAATGATTGTAAGAGCTCTTTGTAAATTTAAGAAAATTCATCTTTTGTTTATAGGTATTAAAGATAGATTTTAATGTTGTCTTCAGTTTTTTTTTTTTTGAAGTTTAACTTTAAAATAGTCACTTTTAGGATTGCTTTTCCATTTATGGCTTCTAGATTTTGGTCCTTAGAAAGCCTTCCCTATGTATAAATTATTACAAAACAAAAATTCCTACTTTTCTTTTGGATTTTTATGATTGTATATGCTTATATTTAAATATTTCATCTATCTTTGTGTGCTTTTGTCTACAAAGAGTGAGATACCCATGTACTATTATTTTTTTAGAAGAAATATGTTTGAAGATAATGGCATTAATCTATAATACTAGATAAATAATATTGTATCTTAATGTGTAATTTTACTGTCAGACTTTACTATGTACTTTGATTACATCTCCAGCCTATCTTTCTGTTGTCAGGACACTTCAGTTCCCATTTAATAAAATAAAAGAAAATATTTATACTCTGGCAAAGAAGTTTTCAAACTTCAGTGTGTATCAAGATCACATAGTGTGTTTTATAAAAATGAAGATTCCAAGCCCTATTCATAGGACTGTTACTCAGTTGGTTTAAAGTAGAGACCATTATTTATGTTTTTTATCAAGTACTCCTTGTTAAAGGTGATTTTGGAAACTATAGTTCTATACTTTGAGAGTCTCTGACCTAGCTTATATGAATAAAATCATTGTAAATTGATGGGATTTTTTTTGTTCAGGGTTGTTGAGATTTTACTTATTACATAGAGTAAAATTCACCCACTGTAGTATATACTTCTGTAAGTTTTGACAGTACATGCAGTCTAGTAACCACCAGCACAATCAAAATATAGAATTCTGTCATCTTAGAAAATTCCCTTTTACCATCTTATGATCATCTCACCCCATACTGCCAGCCTCTGGTAACTACTAATCTGTTTTTTGTCCCTGCAGTTGGGAATATTGGCTTTTTTCATGTAGCACAATGCATTTCAGATTTATCCATGTATTTAGTAATTCATTCCTTTTTTACTGCTGTATGGTATTCCATTGTGTGGCTATAACACAGTTTATCCATTCACCAGTGAATCTGTTTTTAGTTTTGGAGATTATGAATAAAGCTGCTATAGACATTTTAGTGTAGGATTCTGTGGGACCATAAATTTTATTTCTCTTGGGTAAATATCTAGAAGTAGGATTGCTGGATCAAACAGTAAGTAAATTTTGGAAGAACCTGCCAGACTCTTTTCCAGTAGTTGCCTTCCATCATGACCCGTATTGAGAGTTTCCTTATTATTTTTAGCTATTCTAATAGATATGTAATATTATCTCATTGTGGTTTTATTTTCTTTTTCTCTAGTGACAAATCACGTTGAGTACCTTTTCATGTGCTTATTTGTCATTCATGTCTTCTTTAATTGTTCAAATCTTTTGCTGTAAAATTTTTTTTGGTTTGTTTTCTTATCACTGATTGTTGAGAGTGTTTTGTGTATTCTGGGCAGAGGAGTTTTATAACCTATGTATTTACAAATATTTTCTGTCTATGGCTTTGCAGTGAATTAAAAGTATCTTGAAGAACTGAGGTCGTTACATCTTGAAGTAGTACAGTTTATTGTTTTCATCTTTTGTAGTTTGTCCATTTGGTATTTTATTTAAGAAATGTCTGCCTAATCCAAGGTCACAAAAAATTTCTGTTGTTTTCCTCTGAAAGTATTACAGTTTTACTTTACTATACTTTATAAATCTATAATTCATTTTGAGTTAAATTCTATATGCTGTGAGGTATAGGTTGAGCTTCATTTCTTTCCATATGGATATCCAAGAATTCTAGCACCATTTATTGAAAAGACTATTTTTTCTCTATTTAATTGACTTTGCACCTTTCTTGAAATCAATTAACGATACATGAAATCAGTTGACCAAGCGTGGGTCTACTTCTGGACTCTGTTTTGTTGATCTGTGCATTTGTCCTTTTTCTGTTACCACACTGTGTTCATTATTATAGCTTTATGGAAGTGAAGTCATCATGGTCTTTATGGTCTTGTAATCAAGTTGTGTGTTTTCCAACTTTGTTTCAAAACAAAATTCTTTTGACTATTCTATTTTTCTTTTCTATATAAATTTTAGAATCAGTTTGCTGGTTTCTACAGAACATCTTACTGGGATTTTGATTGGTATTACATTGAGTCTATAGATAAGGGAAAATTGATATCTTAACAATTTTGAGTCTTCCAGTCCATGAACATATCTTCCCATTTATTTAGTCCTTTAATCTTCTTCATTGATGTTGTAGGTTTTACAGCTCCTATACATATTTTGATGGATTTATACCTATTTCATGTTTTTTTTTGGTGCTAAGTGGTATTGTATTTTAAAATTTCAGTTGCTAATTGTACATTGCCAGTATATATAAATACAATTGATTTAATTGATTCTAATAAAGACTTAAAATTTTCAACTGGCTCAAGATATTTTGTTTTTCTCTAGATAACTTTCCTGATACTATCATTTTAAGAAATTGTGGTAAATTGCACATAACTTAAAATTTTTCATATTTAAGTGTACGGTTCAGTATCACGAAGAACATCATTCACATTGTTGTGCACTGTGCAATTGATTTTTGTTTTGACCTTAAACCCTGAGGTTATCATAAATTCACTAGTTAATTCTAGTCACTTTTAAGTGAATTTTGATACATACTTTTGGAATTTCTTTGTAAACAATCATGTCATCAGTGAACAGAAATGTTTTATTTCTCTGCATAGAGAACAGTTTTGTTTGTATTGTTCTTTTCTTTCTTTTTCTTGCCATATCACATTGCCTAGAACCTCCACTAAGTACGAAGTTAAATGCGAGTGCTGAGAGTGGACATACTTGCCTCATTCCTGATCTTAGGAGAAGAGCATTTAGTCTTTCATCAATAAGCGTAATGTTAGCCACAGGTTTTTTGTAGATGTCCTCTGTCATCTTGAAGAAGTTCCTTTCTATTCCTATTTGCTAAGATTTTTAAAATCAGGAGTGGATATTGAATCTTGTCCAGTGTTTTTATGGCATTTAATTAGATGATTATATGCTGTTTCTTCTTTATACGTTGATAATGTGAATTATGCTGTTTGATTTTTTTAAAGAAGATATATGTTTTTATTGAAGTACAGTCAGTTTACAATGTTGTGTCATATTTGATGTATAGCATAATGTTTCAGTCATACATGTATATACATATATTTCTTTTCATATTCTTCTTCATTATAGGTTACTACAAGATGTTGAATATAGTTCCCTGTACTATAAAGTAGAAGCTTGTTTATTTTATATATAGTAGTTAGTAGCCACTAATCTCAAACTCACAATTTATCCTTCCCCTCTAGTAACCATAAGTTTGTTTTCTACATTTGTGTCCTTTTTTTAGATTCCACATGTAAGTGATGTCATATTTTTTTTCCCCCTCTTTCTGGCTTACTTCACTTAGTATGAAGATCTCCAGGTCCATCCATGTTGCTGCGAATGGCATTATTTTCTTTTTTAATGGCTGAGTAGTATTCCATTCTGTGTGTGTGCGTGTGTGTGTGTGTACGTACGTACTGTACAGTCCTGGATAAAGTCATCTGTTGAATGGACATATAGATTGTTTCCATGTCTTGGCTATTGTAAATAGTGCTGCTATAAACATTGGGGTGCATGTATCTTTTCGAATTAAGAATTTCTTCCACATATATGCCCAGGAGTGGGATTGCTGTATCATATGGTAGCTCTGTTTTTAGTTTTTTAAAAAAATCTCCATACTGTTTTCCATAATGGCTACATCAAACTACATTCCCACCAACAGAGTAGAAGGGTTCCCTTTTCTCCACACGCTCTCCAGCATGTATCATTTGTGAACATTTTAATGATGGCCATTCTGACTGGAGTGAGGTGACACCTCATTGTAGTTTTGATTTGCATTTCTCTAGTAATTAGTGATATTGAGCATCTTTTCATGTGCCTATTGGCCGTCTATATGTCTTCATTGGAGAAATGCTTGTTTAGGTCTTCTGCCCATTTTTGGATTGGGTTGTTTGTTTTTTTTTATTAACTTGTGTGAGCTGTTTGTATATTCTGGAATTAAAGCCCTAGTCAGTTGCAT